GATATTACATATGGTAAATATATTGTTTATATATTTTTAGATTAAAAAATGATAAGAAATAATAATAACATTTAAAACACTCAGGAAGAACGACGAAAACATTTTGCGGAACTCCTGAATATCTTGCACCAGAAGTGTTAGAAGATAACGATTATGGACGAGCTGTAGATTGGTGGGGAGTTGGTGTTGTTATGTATGAAATGATTTGTGGTCGATTACCTTTTTATAATAAGGACCATGAAAAGCTCTTCATGCTTATTGTAATGGAAGAAGTAAAATTCCTAGAACAATCAGTAATGAAGCAAAAGACATGCTTGGTGGTAAGTAGTGGTAAGTGAGTAAAATCGATATTTTTACTTTTTAATTTTTAATTCTTTTTTTAGGATTACTTATAAAAGATCCAAGTAAAAGATTAGGTGGTGGACCTAATGATGCAAAAGAAATAATGGATCATGCATTTTTTTCATCAATTGATTGGTCGGATCTTGTACAGAAAAAAATTCCTCCTCCTTTTAAACCTCAAGTAACATCAGACACAGATACCCGATATTTTGATAGTGAATTTACGGGTGAAAGCGTAGAACTTACGCCACCTGATCAAGGATTTTTAGGCAGTGGAGGTGGTTTAAATTCAATAGCTGAAGAACAAGAGCATTTTCCCCAATTTTCTTATCAGGAAAGTCACTCGGCAGCAACTTCTTCCATTGTTTCCATTAATCACTGACAGTATCAAACGTTTTCTTTGTTCACATTTTCAAATGTAAGGCTAAATGCATGAAAAAGTCAGAGACATTCGATTTTATGACGAATATTCGTTCTTTTGTCTACTAATTTGGAAGAATTTTTTGTTATACAGATAAATTGAAATATTAGTTATTTTCTCTAATTTATGATGCTTTTTTATGCATCTTTAAAAGGTTTTAACACATATCTCCAATGGCAGATTAGTGTGGTTGCGTTTACGTGCGCATACATGCACATACTCATTGAAATTGTACATGAAAAAATTATGTACCATAAGATTCAATTAAATTAATATTTATACCTGCTGAGTAGGTTCGCGGTGATATAATGGGGATTGAATGTTAATTTAAATCGAAAGCAAAATAAGAGAGATAAAAGTTAAGCTTGTCCCCTAAATTATGTTACGCTATAAAGAGTGGCATGTTTCTTCTATATTTGGAGGAACGATATTTGATAATCGTAGCTACTAATTTTTTTTTTTTTTTTAATGACAATGTTACTCGATATTTTGGCTTCGTTGTCGATTCTAACGTAATAATTTATAGAAAAGCAGTTCCTTGTTATTTTTTTCTAAATTTATTAGTCAAATATTATAGCAGAAGCCAATATAGTAAATTACATTTGACAAGGAGCCAGTCAATGGACAAATGGATTCTCCATTTTAAAAGTAGAGGCATAGAAATATTAACAGCTTTAATTGAATTATTATGTATATCTGAAACAAATTTATAGCATTAAAAAAAAGCGTTTCTTTGTTATATTAGTACTCAAATTCGGAAATATTCTTTTTCCTTGGTACGAATCGTATTATTCATCATGTATCATTGACAAATAATGATTTACTGTGAGAATCAGATGGAAATATGAAATGCTACCCTAATATTATATTATTAATATTATATGCTATAATGATTATATATACATATATTTATATTTTAACAATTAAAGGATTATATTGTATGTATGCATTATTAATAATTTCCATCTCATTTGTAATTAGTAAATTTTTATAGTTTATTCGTTTCTATGCGAAGAAAAGAATAGGAAATTTTTTAAAATAGAATGAAAGTAAATTGTGTTTGAAGTTGGTAGATATGCAATTTTGCTATTTATCATGAAAGAGCATGATACAAAGCAAAAAAAAAAATATTTAAATATTGTTTTAATTCATCCTAAATTATACTCTATATTTTATGTTTTACATATTTTATTTATCAAGGAGATTTAAATTGTATGCTGGTAAGATATCATCTTTTATGAGCCAAACATGGTCCAAAACAGCACCTTCCTTGTCATCGGATACCTGTAAATGACATATTGTAAAATGAATTACAACAAACATTCCTCGTACCTTTTTTTTTTCCATGTTAGCTAATACCTGTTCAATATAAAGATGAGTTTGATTATATGCTTTCATCCTAGTATATCCATAATCAGAACTGCGATAGGCAGACCAATTTGGTTTATGTGGAATAAATTTTTCACGTCCTTCTTTACATCCTGCTGATCCAGTTACTATATGTACAGGTGCCTTATAGTTTTTATATGGCTTCTCATAACTACCATTTTGTACCTATGATTATTTTATTTTTCTTATTTTAAATGAAATTAAAGATATCTCTTAATGATTGTAGATTACCTTGAAGTTGTACATGGGCCATAAACGTTCATAACTATGTTCATGAGCCCATAACAATAAATCTACTTTGAACTTGAAAAAAAGATCTTCAAGACCAAACCAATTTACAATTGGCAATCCAACTCTGACTAAACTTTCATGATTAGTGCAATCATCAGCATTTGCATTACTGCAATACATTGGTCTATGACCAAATATAACTATCCATGGTCTTTGTGCCCTAAAAATTTATTATTAATTATTAATTTTTAATTCTTAATTATTAATTCTGCAATATGACAAGGAAATATACAAATCTACCTATTTTTAGGCATATTTGCTTCTATTAAATCTTTTTTTAACCATTCATACTGTTTAACAAGTTGCTTTATACCATAATTCATAAAATAATAAGCTTCTGTTTCTATTCCTACAAAATGTACAGGTCCTATATTAAAACTGTACCATAAACCTTCAGAATTTCCAGGCATAGTAAAACGAAACCTATTAGCAAATTTACATTACAACAATAGAGAAATTATAAAAATGAGAATTAATTAAAATAGTTTTAAATTTAAAATATATTCTGACCTATAATTACTAAAGTTATATTTTTCTTCATGATTACCAGGTACTGTCATATATGGTAAATAAGCAGCAATTCCTTCTATTTGTTTCATGAATTCATCACCAACACGTGCATTATCAGAATCCATATCATATGCAAAATCTCCAATATGAATTGCTGCATTATATAATCCACGTTGTGCTTCTTCTTGCAATCTAGATAAACTTTGAGCGTTTTCATTACCCATATCGCCAAAGATAACAATATGAGGTGACCATATTGTTGATTCTTCAGGAGTAGTTTTCAGATAGAATATATTAGACCATCCATATTTGCTACCACAATGATAAACTATCAAAAGATTTATATGTATATTTTATAAAATAAGTAATATAAGAATATGACAAATAACTAAAAAATTATTTCACTTACTATACTTGGTATTAGGTGTTAAATTTTTTAACCATACTCTATGAATGTATTGCTTTTGTTTTTCATTTCCACCATCAACAAAGAGAGTAGAATTTCCCGTAGCTGTTAGAATTAGTCCATTTATTCCATATTCCACAATTGATTCTTGAGTATTATCTTTTGTGGCCCATGTTACAACAATGTCATGAATATTATCTAAAAATTACAAAATATGTATATTATATTTCATTGATGATAAGAGAATTTTTTTAAAAATTTTTAAAAAATAATGTATTAACAAGATAAATAATTAGAATATACGTTACCTCCATAAGCAAGATGAACAGCTTCAGGTTGATAATGAATAACATTACATACTGTGAGAGAAATTAAGGATAAAAAAACAAGTCCAATGAATAAAGCCATTTTTTGTTAATTTATCCAGAAATGAAGTTGTGCTAATATATTATTTAGAATAATTTTTAAAAATCTATTTCATTATTTATTATATATAAAAACTACACTAATTTAAAATTTGAAAAAGTTCAAGCTTCAAAAACTTCAAAAATTTGATGAATTATTATGTTCCTTCAAATGCAAAGAATTACTGCTTTTGTGCATAATAAATGTACTTTTATTATCTAAGATCCACAATAACAATGAGTCAAGCATTATCAAAAAAACTCTTATCAAGTATTCAGTTTCTATCAGCTATCGAAGTTATTGAATATAAAACATGATTTTAGATGCGATATTTTCATTGAATTTCAATATTATTTAAGTAAAAAGACGAAATATTAATTTGTATTCTAATAAATTATCTTAAACACTTGTAATCCAAATTCACGTATTAGCGCCATCTGCAGAGTATAAAGCATTACATTTAATCAAATGCTATATCATAATTGCAATATAATGCATTTACGTCAGAGTGTACAAAAGACTGATCATAGTGAATAATCAATGGTAAATATTTCATTAAAAATTAATTCGTTTCAAAATTCAAAATAAATGTCATAGATAATTACTATAATAATATACTCATTCAAACGCAATTCAAATATAAATAAAAACAATTATTAAATAAAAACAATTATATTTATATCTTGAATATTAATTGAATCGAAATATTTGTAAATTAATTCATTTTGTAAGATGAAAATTGAAAGAATATAACATCAAAAGTAGACAGGTAATTATGAACTAACATCCCTTATATTGATTACGTACTCTATCTGTTTCTTCACAAAAATTTTTTATTTTCTTATTCGCATATGAGTTCATTTTAATAAATAAAACGTATATTCAATAAACGATGAATTTTTCAAACATTAAAGAAAATATTTAAACAACAATAATGGAAAATATATAAAGATAAATATTTTATTAATTTTTTAATTATACATTAAAAAAATATATAACAATCAAATCAATTATAATTTATAATGTAATAATTTATATATTAAAATGTATTCATTTCAATAGTATATAAAAATAGAATAGAAAGAAGAAGAATTTTATGGAAAAATAATAGAATAAGAGATAAAAGCTATAGGATTGGTAGTGGAGTCAAAGATGGAGGGGTTACCGCCATGAGAATGACGACGGCGCTGTATCAACCGCCACTATCGCCGCTTTGCGGCGAGGGATGGAAATCAGCAGATGACAAGGGATGTCAGGGCTGCTGCCGCCGTCGGTTAACACGCACAGGTTCACACCCATCTTCGACAATACATTTTAAAGCTTCGATATCGCGGGAAATGGATAGAATGACTTTAAAAAGAAGCAGTTCCACAGTGTTGTGAATCGATGAGATCAAATCGTGTATTGTTGTCGAAAATGTTTCTAATCTGATATAAAAAAGTGTGATGTGCTTCAGGGTAGAGCAAAAGTGATTGAATATATTACCAGTTTATGAGATTGTTCAAAAGAGACAAAAGGAGATACATTATATGTCGTGATATATATAATGTATAAATTTTGCGAACATTCGTTAAAAATACAGGTTAATCGTTTTTGTGAAATTTATTTCTAATCCTGCGTGCAAGCGAGATGTCGTAAGTGTCCTTCGAGGGAGGGATAGAATGAAGATAATATATACAACAAACGAGAGGAAAATCGTAAAATCGTAAAAATTTTGCATTTAAACGACGATTTCATATATAATGAGATTTTATCGGAAAATGAATATTTAATTGAAACCTGCCGTCGATGGAAAGTGAGAAGTTAGCATGAAGATAGTCTGCGTTATTCCGGTCTCGATAAATCGAGACATTTTTACGATTTTCAAATGTCATTCAAGAAAACTTATGCATTCAAGGATGCAAGCAGTCAGAATGACCGAGGCAAGCGAGGAGTCGTGTTCAGTGAAAGCTCTAATCAATAAGTTAGGGCTTGAGGGATTCTGAATTCGTTGATCGTTTGAGGAAGAAATCTTCGTTGCAAGGATGTAGGGGGGCCCATACTCGGGGCCCCAGTGAGGGTTTCCTCTCAGACTGTTTGAACGTATTAATATCAAAAACAAAGAAGATTCTTTATAGAACCACCATACTCGTATTAAAGCATAGAGAGTTGGAGAGCGAGAGAAAGAGAAAGAAAGATATTTCCCCTGTGATATCACGAGTTTGTAACAGATCTTAAAGTAACATCAACATATAACGTCAAGAGGAATGACCAGCAGTCAGAGAATGTTACGTGTTCGTTAACTTATTTTTTTTTTTTTTTAAAATACGAACTGCTAGTTTTCTTAGTCGTTTTAATTGTTAATCGGTGTACGTAAATATAACAGCCTTAGCTAATTATTAGTGAAGTTCAAAATTTCCGGGACAATTTTCGACAATTCCTTCGGTTCTGATCTTTCAATCGAGTGAAAACTGTGTCAAATTCGTCGTCGAAATCTTGACTCAGGGAAATCTAAAAATTAGAAAGAAAAGAAGAGAGAGAGAGAAAGAATGTTAATACTCATCACTTAAGGAAATGTGGGTGTTGTTAGTGAAAAACATCGATTGCGGTATCAATGGTAAAATGAGATGCGAAGATACAAGAGGAAATGGAAAGGATGGCATGCGATAACAACGTTAATATCGGCGAATTATTTTTTCGATGATGATGAGGCGATTGCGCTTATCTTCGATTTTAATCGCATCAAGATTCGCCTGAAGCGTCGTTCTCCCCTTATAATCGAATAAATCAGCAACCATCGCCGAAGTCAGCAAAAATGGTCGATCTAGGAGGATATATTATCATATTGATCAACCACAATGACAAGATCAAACTGTACGGTGAGCATCGATTGCTTATGCGATTAACCCATAATTCCTTGCTTTTTGTTTATCATTTTTAAAAATCGAAAAACATTTTTTGCTTCTTTTCTCTTTCTTCTTCTTCTTCTTCTTCTTTTTTTTTTTTTTTTTTAATTTAGCACCAACTACATATACTTTAATGAGCATCGACAAAGCTGCTTGTCAAGCACGTAGGCGTGAACTGTGAAACCCTTTCTCTCTTTTGTTTCTCGTGTTTTTTTCTCGAGGATGCTATCATGTGTAATCATTGACATAGAAACGAATTGGCTTGTCCGTTCGTTCTGTGTAAATCTTTACGTGCTATCTGTTCACGTAATATGTATGTTCTTCTTAAATTCGAAAAAAGAATATATGACAAACACGCTTCGTTATCACTTTCTTGTGTAATAATTTTAATTAATATTTAAACGTTTCACGATTAATTTGAGCTAAATATTATGTTTCATTGTTTCAAATTCAAAATTTCTAGGTTCCCCGGCCGACAACGCGGATACGCTGGAAGTGGCTGATGAAATTTTACAAGTTAACGGTAGCACGTTGGAAAATGCCAGTCAATCCGAAGTTATTCAATACATATATCAGGTATTTTATTTATTCATATAAGATTTTATTATTATTGTTGTTGTTGTTAAAAATTTAAGAATTTTGTAACTAGACATTTTTCTCGCAATATTTAATAGTTAGAAATCGATAGGATGAATATCGATGAATATATCGATAATCGAATCGTTTCTTTTCGTAGTGTATCGAGTCTCGAACGATATGTCTGCGAGTGCGGAGGAGGAGCGGAAACAAGATGGGTAAGTATATTTATTAAGAATATTTATTGATTATTTTTAATAAGTAAAAAAAGAAGAAAAAGATTTATAGATAAAAAAAAAAGATGTTTTAAATGATTTTTAATTATATAATATCGTGACTGAAAGTGGACAGGATGATATTGCAGATTTTCGATCGATTTTTTTTCTTTTTTTTTTTTTTTTTTTTTAGAAAATATAAAATAGAAATCTATATGTTTATCGTTATTAAAGTAAGGTTAAAAAACATCTATCCTTATAAATCGTTTCTTAATAAAATTATTTCATTTTCGAAATTACCCTCTTCGAAATGTAGTCTCGAGAATTCGAATGTTCGGGCCGTAGGTAAAATTGTCGGCCGATTTCGTGTTTCCTCGTGCGATTCCGGCGTTCGCCAGGTAAATGTTCAGGTCGCCGCTTGTGTGTAATGGAAACGAATAGAGGGGGTTACAGCGTAGAGGGAACTCAGGCGAGAGGCAAACAGTATACACGAATCGAGGGAATCTAACCTTCGAATGTATCCGCTGTCACGTTCGATCCTTGCTAGTACGGAACCGTGCATACGTGCCAACGGTTCCGCGGCATTCCGCGTGCTCTTATCGCCCTCCTAACCTCTCGTTTCAGTTTTGCGTATTTGCCAACGCGTTTTTTCATCGTGGCAGTTCTGACACCGCGGTTCTTTTCGCGCAACTAGAAAACCTATCTGTCGTCCGTGTGAATGCGTTCAATGTTGTGTTTATCTCAGTTCGCGAATTTTTTGGTGCACTCGTGTCTCTCTGTTTTTGTGTATGTGCCTGTGTGATTCGCATTCCCGCTCGTTTTACCGGTCGAGGGAATCGAGAGACGTAGAAGAACCAGATGGCAGTTGGGTTCGTCCGCGAAATAATCCAGGATTTCGGAGGATGTTTGATTTACCGAGGCCCGAAATCAAAGTGTGATCCTTAATTGGTTACCATTAAATCGTCGATCACTGCGGGCGGATCGATCGATACAGAAGGTGATTGTTCCTCATTTTGTTTCATTCCTTTCGCGGTGACGTTGCTTTTTAAAGCCATGTTTCGCTCGTCCTCTGCTCGAGTGTTGCGCAATCACGTTTATTCTTTGGGCGTTATGTAGGCTCTATCTTATGTGACCGCGAAAGATGAATTTTTGTTGGTTATTGTGTCGCAAAAATGGACGATTCGTTCAGTCGAATAATGTATCATCGTTATGTGACACGTTAACAGTTACGTTTCCATTCGTGAAAACGAATACGAAAAATCTGTCACGATTGCAGTTTCTCGATTGGATAGGTAATCGGTGTCAAATATAACTAAAATCGGATACAATAGGAGGATGCAATGCGAGGCGATTTCTTCGTGAATTAACCCAATTAGTTGAATATATCGTTCGTGAATCGAATTGTCGAAACGAATTCCGTATCGTTTGAAATAAAAAATTCAAGGTATGTCTTCCGATTCCTTTTTCTCATCCTTATATATTTCCAGATTCTAATAAACTAGTTATAACAATAATAAGAATAGATTTCGATATTCGATATACATCGATGAGCGATTTTTTTCGATAGTTGAAATTTTATATACCTATATGTATATATTTCACACGTGCGATCAGTAAATTTAAAATTACGAACCTACATTTCATTTGATCAATAATTAAGCGAATCTCTTTAAAATGAATAATCTTTAATGATCGAACGATTTCGTAAAAATGCATTTATGCTTTGAATTAAGCTTTCTATCGCTATAGCGGAATTTCTCGATTCTCGAAATCGATAAGTTAAACGCCACGCGATCTGTGTCGGCAGAGTTAACGCACAGGAAAAATCGCTCACGTTGCTGTTTGGTGGTAACATGTTACTCGTTAGTTGCCAGCCCGATAAAAGTACTTACACATACGTACGTACGCACGCGCGCTACTGCTTGTATTTGCCTATCGCGAATAATGGGAATGTTTTGCGGACGAAGAGCAACAATCGGTTGGGGTGCAGCATGCGTATCAGGTTAGCGTGCGTTTCAACTTTTTTCCCGAATCGTTGCCTCGTTGATTTCATTTCCACGAATAGTCTTTATTTTCCTACCAAAACACTTTCACATACGAGTCCTATTTTTCTCTTGCCTTTTTCCAAATTTTTCTTTAGAAGAAATCGATTTATATATATTCGTCGCTAATTGCGAAACGGATTTAATTCGTATCGTATTTGATTTCACTATATACGAAACACCGCCGTATTTTCGTTGAAACGATCTATGTTCAATAGGAATATAAACTATCTTTTCGTACACTTTCGGATGAAATATTTCGGAATTCGAAATTATAGAAATATTGCAATATTTCAACGTAATACCGAAACGAATGGTTGACGATGGAAACGTATATCCGTTATTCGGTGCGTTAACCTTTCTTAACCTGAGTCGTTTATTTGGTAATACATGCGATGACGATACGATGGAAAAATAGAAAATTGTTGGAGAACGGTTAATCGAGCCGTAGCGAGCTGTAAATTCGAGGGTTTCCCATTTACCGATTGGCATTCGAGCTCGAGTGAATAGTCCCGTAGAAAACAAGGAAGAGTTACACGCACGGCGAGCACGGGACAATTACTGGATGGCGTTGCGAACGGTCTGGAGAGAGGAAGTAGGAAAAGAAAGGATAGGTACCGTAGGTGGAAGACGGGGCACGAGCTCTCGCGGACAGTATCGTGAACTACGAGATACATAAATTATGCATGTACGATGGAATGTGTACATACGATCGTGATGACGTATGACGGCGAGAGCTGAAAAAGGAAGAAATAGATTGACGAAAAATATAAATGCGTATCGGTTTAGTGCCATCATTCGTTTAATTATCAGGTCATCTTCGTAATTACGAATTTTTCTTCATATTTTTAAAAGATCAGGCGGCATTTCTAATTCATTTGTGCGATTTAACAAGAACGAATAGAATTAAGAAAAGTTTCCGAAATATATAATTTAAATTATATCGAATAGTAGAACGGTGAAGATCGAGTTCCATTATCAACGTTCGGTAAATTAAATAGGAACGTTCTTCTAATCGCTTCACGATAGATATCGGCGTGATGTAATTTAGGATACGCATTTTCCAGTGCTAATGGTTCGATCTTATCGCGGTGAGAATCGAATTTGGCCCTCATAGCAGAGTGGAAAGCGGTCGTCGTTAATCGAATTTTACTTTCACCCTGTGACGAAGAGGAACACGTCGCGTTCCACATTGGTGCCGAAGGAATGCAACGATTTCAGGAATTTCACGTAACCGCGCGAAAGACCGTTGGCTTGAACGTTTCGCGTCAAGTAATAATAGACGGACTCCTTAATAAAATCACGCGATATTCCGGATTCGTAGGAAGAATTTTCTAGCGAAACGCATTCTCGGACAATTATTTTCTCCTCTCGGAGAATTCCGCTACAGTTAACGCCCTATTTCCGCTCCGAGTCGAAGATAGGTTAAACTATCTACTTATTCTAGGAAAGCCTCGTACTTTTATTAACCGCACACGATGACTTTGAACGTTTATCGATCTCGAGCAAAGTTTCTTTAAAAATCGTAAATGTAATATCGATGTCCGGCGAAACGGTTACGAGCACGATAGTAGTACGTACGATGAGTGACTTCTACCGTCCAATTACAAAATATGAGACAGATGGTGAGACGATGCGAAAGCGTGTACAGTTAGAAAACTGGTTTTCGCCTGGTCGTGCGTCAAGCATATTACGAATCAAGTATTATCGAAATCTTACCTTACCGCTTCTCCCGTGTACCGTACACCGTTTCAGCATTTGCTGCATTCACGCGCGTGTGCCAGTATCGAGTCATTATCTCTTTACGTTTGCGCTTACGTGGCTGCAAGTTTTTACAGATAAACACGCGCTAAATTTTATTACCACTTTTCACGTATTCTTTTTTTTTTTTTTTAAATTTTTACAGAGATTCAAAAAGTAATAAGTAAATTTTATATTTATTTGTCCCAAAAAAAAGTATAACAAACGCACAATGGCCGTAACTAGAAGAATTATTTAAACAAATAAGAGAAGTAAACGTTGGATCACGATGAATCGGTGACAAGTGTAAATTATTATTTATCTCGGCTTATTAATAAAATCACGTCGCGAAACCGGTGAACTCTTTTGATTATTCTACGGTTTCAGCTTCGACCCGAATTCAACGAAATCGACGCACGTTCGACCGTGACTCCCCGCAATTTTCCGCAAGATTTACCTTTGGAGAGTCTTTCTCTCGCCCCGTAGAGAAAATGTTGATGCGTTACAAATTTTTCTTTTTAAACCTATTCAACAGACACGCGTGTCGCAACCAAGCAGCCGAAAAATTTCCCTTCTTTTTGACCCAGATTCGACAAGTTTTTTTTTTTTCGATTACCTTTTTTCTTTTCTCGAAACTTCTCTCGATACAAGCGAAAAGAAGAAATTCCACCTCTCACGGCAGAGGCACAGGTGTAAATGGCAGCACGGATGATGATTCACCTCGTGTTTATTCAGGGGAAGGGAACAAAGAACGGCTCGATAAATAAAGAAAAATAGAGAAGAAATTTTTGTCCTCGTAACGTGTGTGTTGGAAAACGATCCAAAGGTGGCGCGGCTCGCCCTTGAAAAATCGTCTGTCGCGGGACAGGAAAAGAGGGGAGTTCGCACTTTCTCCGAATCCGTTGACTCGCGGCGGCGTTCGAGCACGTTCTGGCTTGGCGCCAAAACCTAGCTGGAAAAAGGAAGGAGAAAGAGTAGGAGGAGGGGAGGGACGAGTTGCCGCGAATTTCCTCCCGCCACTGTAACGGCCACGATATTTTCAACGGCCGCGAATCGCACCACTTGATCGCCCGGCTCGAGATAACGAGAGTCGTAACTCCCCTCCCCTTTCCTCGACAATGCCCCCCCACCCCCGCCATTATCCCTCGACCCTCCCGACTCTATACACAACCGAGCAATTGGCAGTTGGAACGAGAATATTCGAATTTTCAGAGAGGAGAGATGTAGCCGCGAAATACGACGCGATACAGGAAATTTCAAAGACGAATTGATCATCGAATCGTTGAAGGGAATTTAACCGAATTTAATACCATTATATATCATAAGAGGCGCTGACTCGGTTCGCTGGCTCGTGAAACGCGGGGAAAATAATGAAAATTCTGCTTCCGGGTCGAGGGGTTCAAAATTCCGCTATCCGATCTAAAAAGAAAAAAATTTTCAGTTCATCAGAGCGAGAGAAGGAAAAATGTTGGGTGGCGCGAAGCGAGGAACGCGAGACCGCGACACTGCTCCTCCCGTCGATTTTTACCGGCCCGCTCTCTCGGCCCGTACGAACGCGCGGTTCCAAATATAAACCTCTTGGTTCGTAGGCTCGCGGTGCCATCCATTCCCGGCCCCGGTCGAGCGTTTATTTTCTATGGTTTCGGCGACACGCGCGCGAGAACCGTCGCCTCCGCTTTCCGTTCCATCATCGTCCATCTCGGTCGAGGAGTTCGTTTCGAACGGCGAAAATTTGGAAAAAGTGCATCGTCCAGATCAGGAATCATGTTCGAAGCGGCGATAATTGATTCGTGAGAGAAAGAGAGAGAGAGAGAGAGAGAAGAGAGAGAGAGAGACATGTCGAGATTGTTTCGAAGAATATTCCTGTGCGGATGCTCGTCCAACTCGAGGGGAATCGATGGGCAAAAGTTCGTGGTCGACGAGTCCGTGGTCGAGGATGGGCCAAAGTCGATCGAATTCTCGGCGAGCGACGAGCATCTGGACGAGGACGTAGCGACGCACTTCGACCTGTCCACCATCAAGTTCATAGACGAGGAGGAGGAGGAGACGGATGACGATGAGGTGGCGGTCTTTGAAAATGGTATAACACTCTCGGTGTTAACGGCCCGCTAACTTATTACGATAGGATGAGGAAAATTAAATTTTGATTCCAAAGATTAAGACAAAGAAAAGTGGAGGTTGATGTTGCTGTAGGAGGGAAAGTAACAAAAAGGAAATTGAAAGTAGAATTAAAGAATAGAGAGGGAAGGTTATTCTCGCGACTAATCGCTTTTTGAAATTGTTGACAGTAGAGCTGGACGGGTTCAACGCTGGTCGGGTTCGAGAAGCTTGGGTCATCGCCGTCGAAAGGTAATTACATGTTTGTAAAGAGCGAGCAATAATTTTTAACGAATTTCTGTTTTATATATATATACGCATTCTTGCAACGCGTTCATTGTTCGGAATGTTGGCACTTTCCGCGACCTTCTAATTTTACGCGATTCATCCGGAGGATTTTTCGTTGCAGGCGTGCAAAGGAACGATTACAGCGGCTGGCATCTCACTGGAGAATCCAACCGCGGGATATCCAAGCGATTCTGCACCAGCAGGTACAGTGGTTTCTACGATAATAAGTATTGAACGATAATAAAGTATCGAGTAACGATATAGATATTAATTAAAAAACTGCGTTTCTTTTTTTTTCTTTTTTTTTCTTGACCGAGGCTTTGAAATCGTATAAGAAAGAGACGTGATGGCAACAAGAAATTCCGAGAAAGAGAGATTCCAACGATACGAAAAAGAAAAAGAAAAAAAGAAAAAAGGATAAGGATTTGATAAGGGAGAAAGAAAAGTAGGAAAAAAAGATACGAGGTAATAGAAATATTTCCGCTAGGTAACGAATAAAACGAACAATTATGCGGGAATAGTTGGCAATTACACGGGAATGCCCTTTGCAATTCGAAGGAAGATTGTGTGCAGGCCTTTCACCAAGCCGAAAGATACCTCCTCGTTTTACGTAATAATCGCGATAGAAACGTTGAAGCGTACGTTGCCAACGACGAGAGAACAATACGATCGGAGTTGGTTCAATTGGACGGCCAACACCGAGATAAAATATTCGAGCAATTAGTTCCTATTCCATCCGCGTGTTCTATCGATATGGCGTTCCAGTCGGGGAGTAGTGTTATTCGAAGGATGCGCGAACGAACCGACAGAGAAATCGTCACGGAGAAGTTGCTTATAATATGTGGAATGCAAAGTAAACGAGCCGAGTGAACGGTTGCCGCGATCATGCGCGGCCTTGGATAACGTGTATTCCACAGGTTGCGACTCGAAAAAATGATCGCCACGATTTTTCACCGCGTCTTTCCTTCCCTCGACGATCTCTCTTGTCTCTCGTTGTCGATCGAGAGAAGAGCTTGAAACGAAGGAAGGAAAAAAGGAGGGAGGAGAGGAAAAAAAAAAAGAAGGGTATCGATCGGGAAACGTGGTCGGAATCTCTTTGTTTCCGGGAGAAAGAACGGTCGTCCGGTAGAGGCAAAGCCAGCTGATTGTTTGGTATCTGGTATGTGTGTGTGTGTGTGCAGATCAACGAGGCAGTCGCGTCGACGAGCGGGGACAGCGCGGGCAAAAATGTGACGGGCAACCAAATTACCGTGACGCTTGCCGACAAGTAAGTGGCATTTCGTTCTTCCCCGTTTCTCTTCCGTTATTTATTCCCTCGTCAATCGTTATTCCGCTCTATTCTTCCCTTTACGCGTTTTTCCTCCCTTTTGCGTATCAACATTATTTTCTTTTTTTTAAAACGAATCTCGATCGCGTTTCCAACGATCTCTCGATGAAATCGCGCTGAACAACGGCGCTTTTTATTCGGGACGAGAGCTTAACGGTTTCCATTCCATACGATTCAATCCGTTTAGTTTCGTTTCGTTTCGTTTCATTTCGATGGAGACACTGTGAGGCGCGTCGATCACGTGAAAACGCGAGAAGTTGCCACGCGATGGGAAGTACAATTACGCGAGAACCGGACGCGAGAAATAGCCGTGATTGATATCCCATCGCGATACCACTGCGCATACCGCGTCGTTTTTCTTTTTCATTTACCTTAAACAGCCCCGTGGATTCTTGCAATTATTTAAACCCGGTCTTTTCTATGTCCCAGGGAGCCGAGCACGAATGTCTTCACCACTAAGCTCAGCAACGGTAGCATTCCTAAGGGGTTAGGGAAAGACGCGAAGGAAATTCGAGGAGCGAAGGAGGAAAGAACGGAGAAACAACAACAACAACAACAACAACAACAGAGCTGTTCAACAGAGGAGACGAAACTTTTGGTAAGTGGAACGTATCCTTTCACCTATTTGTGATATGGGGAAAGAAATGGTCTGGGGGGAAAGAGTTAATTTTTTCCAGAGAGAGAGAGAGAGAGAACGAAGGTCGATCGTAATTATCGCAAGATGGAAAAGAGAGTATCTATATCATTTTCGATATCCTTGAAAGCGACTCTCGTGGTTACGCTATCTATCTTTATACTTTATAGAGGTAAAAAAAAAAAAAAATGATTTCTCCTTCACGACGCTTATGTAAACGCTCATGTCCGTGCGATTATTGGTTAACCGTGAGGTAAACACTTCCCGGAATTATAATTTATCATCCTCCATTCGTTCTTGTATAATTAATTGTCAAGTCGAATGTTGCGGAGAATCGAACATTAACCATTGAAAATTAACCATTGGTGAATCAACCATTGGTGAATCGTGATACTCGCTTCTTCGTTGCGACGAAAACGGAAAACGTCTTCTCGACGGCTCAATTCGAATATTACGCGTGAATTTTCGGCGATTCATTCTTCCAGACACCGGTGCAAGGCGGAAGAGTCGGGGAACGGCGTGCCAGCAGCCCTTTCCAAAATGGTCAGACAGAAGTCCTGATCGGAGAAGTGGAGGGCGGCCCAAGGTCGCCGCGGGGATCCACGTCTTCGGCGGTGAACGACGCCAATTTCCTGGGTCCACCGGATGAACGTGACGGAAACAAGCCCATTTGCAGGCGAGTAACAACAGCAAAATCTCTTCGTCTCTTTTCTATTCCGAACTTTCATCTTCTTTCTAACCTCAAAATCAAGCCAACACGAATTTCACCAATATTCGAAACGCGTTGCTCGTGTTTGCGTCTCTTCCCTTATTATGTATATATTGTTAACTCGCGAGGAGAGAGAAATCGGCAAGAAAACGCGAGAATCTGTCGCAGTTCCCTGCAACTTGCATCGAGTTGCACCTACGCGGCTGTGTTGTTGCCTCGTCGATGCGATGAAAACTCGGCAGGTTACTGTTAGATGTCGCGGTGAACGTGCTTCGTGCGAGAAATCTCCGTTATCGAGAGATACAGCAAAAGACAGCAACTCGAACTTTTTTCATTTCTTTTTTTCATCCTTACTCGTTCACTTTGCGATTATAGCGCAAAATTAGGATAATAACGACATCGCGTGATGCAATGTCGACGTAGAATTTGCGTTTAAAAAAAGAAAGGGAAAAAAAGCAGGTGTATATATATATATGTATATATACACACTTTGCCGATCGGTAATATTCTCGTAAACGAACGTTTCTTCGAACTTTTGATCGAAACGTCTCGGTTATCCGATAGTCCATTGAAAGTATATCGATTAATTGGTAGAAAGTGGAGTGTAATCGGTGTATCGGTCCGGATCGAGATGGGTCGAGGCAGAGCGAACTCTCGTCTCCCTCTCTTCCTTGATAGTCACTTGGTCGGTATTTCACGCTCGTGACACACCCACCGCTAGAGTAAGAGCAGCCTAAACAATGCGTTTTCCAGACCTCGCGATACAGCGGCTCGCTCTATCCCAGCGTTTCCCAACCTGTTCACGGTTGCATCATGGAATCTTTACGTCTATTTTTAAACCTACATTCCTACGGATTTACCTTTGAAATATTTTACTTACTAGGATACCTTGGATTTTTTCGAACGAATACACATATAAATACATATATAGGTACACGTTTCTCGAATTCTCGTTTCCCTCTCTTCTCGATACGTTGACTCGTTCGTTCGTGAAACCAGTTTTTCCTTACGCAAAATAAAATATATAGCGCATAGATATAACGAATTAGTTTAATTCAAAAAATGAATTAAGAAGTTGGTCGGTCGAGGCGAAGTATGTCGAATGCAAATGAATTTTTAACACGATCGTGCACGAGAAGGTAAACGAGGAGATGATTTTCTCGAGCGGCTTAGGAAAATCACCTTGGAGTTATTCATGGACGAGGGTAGAGAGTACAGGTGCGAATGAATGCGCCCATTGACATCACAGCCCACTTTTCTATGGATATGTACCTTGAAACGTGTGCTTTCGTCCCCTTCCCCCCCTCCCTCTCTCTGTGACGACGCCGGTTCTCGCGATTCTTCTCCCCACGGTTTTTACGATTTTCGACATAGAGGATCGCGGACAGAAACCTGAATTTTCTCGAAACTTTTTGAAAGCCTTTCGTGCAACTATGCTTCCTGTTTCGAAAATTCCCATCTATGAACCGGATGTTGACGCCTCTTTCGATTTGACGTTTGATCCTCGATTCTGATCGTTCTATTTACATTTTTAATTACTTTTTTTGGGTTTATAATTCGATCGTGGAAATTGGGATGAAAAGAAAGACTTTCTCGGCGATAAGCACCCCGTGACTTCGTTCGATTCGTGGTACGGTGTCCGTTAACCGAGCCACGGATATCGATTTGCGCTCACGAAATCGATATCGAGACGTTCACGCTCGCCACTCGTCCCGACTCGTATAACATTTTTTCACGTCGCGGCACCGAAGCGGATTTGCATTTGACGGCGCGCAGGCCCGATCGCGTTGCCACCAGCATATTAGCCTCTCTGCCAATCCTTTAAAATTGCTTCCTCCTTTAAAACGTCCAACGATAATTTTTCACTCCGTCCTTTCCAAGTCGGATAATAAAAATTCCTCCGACTTCGTCCGGGAAGAAAGATTTCTAAAGGATTTCGGGAAGGGGGAGAAAAAAGAAATTTTCGAGACTGTTAGAAATGGTGGATCTCGCGGAGAGGCTAGGTCCGGTTCTCGGCGACACAGCTATGGAATACCGATTGCTCACTCTCCCATGGCGTTTCCTGTTCCGACCACGTATCTCTCTTTCGAAATAAGAAGCGCGCGCGGAAGAGGGGGAGGAGGGGGAGGAGGAGGAGGGCGAAGAAAGGAGGAGAAGAAAAGGAGAAATACGAGGAAGAAGAGGGAGGATAAGGGCGGTGGCGCGCGCGCGATAACTTGGATGACGGCATCGTCGAATCGACGCCGCATACTTGCACTCTCCTATTGTTCTCTCGGCCGCATTATGCGCGTCATTCGCGCCGCCTTTTATTCAACGTCAAGATCAGCGAAATAAATCCACGATTTATTCGATTTTAATCATTCTCGTGAATTTGCATTTCCCCCCTCCTTTCTCCCGCATTTTATTAGGATCCTCCTCCTCCTCCTCTTCTTCTTCCATTTTTGTTATTCGTGATATTATTATATTCGAAGGAGAGTATTTCAGATAAAATGGATCTGATGTAAGGGGACGTAGTTTTTTTTTTTTTTCTTAACGTCGAATTTTAAGCAAATTATCGCGGTGATAAAGTGATGCTCGTTATCGGAGATAGATCAGCTCGAAATTCGCTCGCGTCTCGCGATATGCCATTGACACCATTGTTTGGGCCAAGGCTTGTCATTGAATGATTCGCTCATTTTTCTTTCCTCTCGATTCGAGCCGTCCAAGGTTAACCGTGAAATTGTCGACTGATTATCTTGCGGTAATCTCGAACACAGATGTACGCCGCATTTCAAGCGTTCAACGATTGTATTATGTTTGTAAAACACTGTACGGATTTCACGAATGATCATTTAATTTATTTTACGCGGGATTTTTACGTTCGGAAGACGATTTTAGGTCGTAAGACGAATGATAGGATTTTTTTTTATTTATGCGATGGGATTAAGAACGAGGGGAACTTTTTGTAAAAGCAATTTCGATACTCAACGAATACTCCAAAGTGTTAATAAATCGATCCCATTCGAGGTATGCAATTTTCGCCAATGCTTCTCTCAATCTTATTATCTATCGAGTTGTTAGCAATAACGAAAGAAACTCGTGGTTATCGACAAAGATAAGAAATGAAGAATTTCGGCGCGATAAGTAGAAACTCTTGCTTTCAAAACTACTCTTTTTTGCTTCCCATCACGCGCCGTGTAATTAATAATTTCAGCGTGGCTTAACGCGAAAAAGAGAGGAAAAATCGCCGATGCCGATGCATTACTCGCGCTCATCTCGAGTGCATCTCGAGATGCTCGTTCACCGCACTCTCTCGTCCCGTCTCGTCTCCAGGAAAGTGGTTTGAACCGTTAAAGCGGCGCTTTCGTTCCTCTCTTGGAAACTTGGAAACCGGCCTCCTTCCTCCCTACGCTCAGTGCTTCGGAAAACTCGATTAACAATCGAGCGGGGAAGAAACAACCCGGACTCTCCTCCATTCTTGCGTGCGAACGAAAGATCTTTGTCTTCTCGGCCTACTAAAAGAATTTCTTAAGTAGATCAAGTACCATATATATATATATATATATATATGTATCGTATTTTGTCATATTCTTTCACGATTCCTTAAATAGACCAAGTATTATATATATTTATATATTGAATATATCGTATTTTGTCATATTCTCTCTCTCTCTCT